TTTTTATGTGAATGAGTCTGCCAAATTTTTTATTGGATAGTGTTTGTGTAAATTTGCATGCCATGGATAAAATTTGAGAAAACAGCTTTTATTTACGTGGATTAGAGAAATAATTTAAATTTGGACTTGGGACCTCTTATACAATGCATTATTTAATACAAAAAAAGCATGATTCTTCCTTTTTATTATTGCTTTTATTTTTAAATGATGGATTATATGCTTATAGTAAAATTTAGTGTTTCTTTTTATTGAAAATTATATTCTAGATTTTGACATATTGTTGGTCAAATTAGAATTTTGCATCTTTTTTTAAGATATAATTAGCTCCCATCTTTCATCAGATAACCAAATAAAGCCCTAAACATCCTGATTAATCAACTTAGATTTTTAAGAAATTATCTTTGATATTAAATAATAATACATTAGTTAAAGAATAAAAAACTATACTACCTTGGTATTACATGAGGTTCCCTAGGTTATTGTCTGGTTGGACTGTGCTAATTTGGTGATTGCAAATTTTAGATTGATTTTTTCAGGCTTTCTTCTCATTTTCTGACATAAATTACCATTATTGTAGGGACTTCTCCCACATTTTTCTTGTCCACTACCTGGAATTAACGGTTAGAGTTTATGATTTATCCTATCACTTCTTCTCTTTTTTCCCTCTCCTGTCAGCCATCTTCTGAAATGAACTTATGAATTTTATTTTATACACTTTGCTTTTTACTTCCTAAGAAAATCATTTGGCTGATGCAGTTTACAACTCAGATTAAACTGAAAATTTGTTGTTACATTAGGTCAATTTATAGAGCACAATCTTGAACTGATTAATAGAACTGGCACAGCCAAATGCTATCTTGAAACATGGATGTACTACATAATTTTCTTATTCTTTTACGTTATGAACTGGTAAACTACAAGTTCATGCATTGATTGTATTCATTTTCCCTTTGTTTTTCCTTTAAGGTTGCGAAATTTTTGCAATGGATTGTAGGACTTTTCAGCCGAATACAAGTTCTAATTTTAGCACTTTTAATATTGTTAATGTGTTGTGATTGTAGGACCAGATTTCTCACACAGAATATAATTGTACTGAAGATGCACCGATTGAAGGACACATTATTTCAAAGAGGTCATTTACTGAAGCTGGTCTAGATGAAGTTTTTGATAGCCAACTTCAGCAGTCTGCAACAAATATCAAGAAGCTCATAAAGACTGAGAAAGATTGATGGCATTTTGTGCTTGGTTGAATCAAATTATGAAGCTATGTTTTTTTCTATGAATAATATGAAATAAATAAATATATAATGTTTAAATTAAGAACTTCAAGTGTATGTTTTTTCGGTTAAACATCTTTTATAAGACATTTTGATGGGAATATACATTTCTTTTCTATCTTTTTTGTCTATTTAGCCTTTTAATCTTAATTATTATTTTTTAATTATTATTTTGTATGTCTTTTTTAAGAGCATTTGATATTGTATGGTCTTCTTACTATATGGGGATTTCCACTTATTTCATCCTTTGTGCTCATGAAATTTAATTAATAATTGTCTTTTTTTTTTCATTACAATAACCATATTTATCTTCTTGCATGGTAGCTTAACTGATGATATTTCATTAATTTGGGTTGCATTTCATATTTAGTAGTTGATATTTTTATTGATTTATTTGTCTATTATTATATTGGTTTAAACTTTTGATCTTCTTAATTGTGATTTTTTTTCACATTTTTATTTGAGGGCATTTAATATTGCCATACTGTAGACGCTAGATGTGGATCTCTACCATCTGAGAGGCAACTTCCAAGATCTTTTGGTGTAAAATAGTTTAGAAATTTCATGTTGTCATTACCATAATGTTGTGTCCATATTCCTGGCTTGTTTTATGAGTGGTAATTTTATCTGTGCTTTTATTTTTGTAATGCATGCTAAAAGGTCACACGGTAGAACCCTAGCTCCTGGCATGTATCAAGGCCTTAGAGATAAGCAAGGTAACTTTAATCAGTTTTGTAGTTATCTTTCTTGGCATTCCACTTTTTAAAATTCTAAATGATGTTTAATTAGGTCACCAATCTTGAAATATTTAAAGCCAATTCCCGTACCACTCATCCTACCTACTTATCCTACCTACTTTTCCAATTAATGCTCCTTATTTGTCTATTATCCTACTTACTTTTCCAATTAATGCTCTTTATTTATTTATTATATTTGTGTTTTCAGAATCGTGACTTTTGATTTTCTTAATTATGATTTTGTCCCACAGATGATTTTCAGTTGAGGGTATTTAATGTTGTTATTGGTAAGTGAAAATTCTTTTATAACTTTTCCTTTGTTATCATTTATTTCCCATTCCATTTATTTCCTTTTCTTTGCCCGTATAGGTTCTTCATTTGTCTTTTGTTGTTTATATTTTCAAAACAGTGGCTTATGATCTTCTAAATTATGTTTTCTTATTTATCTCCTGTACTTTAATTTCATTTTCTTTTTTCATCATCTGTCTCCCGTTCCACATATTCCATCTTTGCTCATGTATGCTCCTTGGTTTTTTGGTTTGCTCATATTTTCAGACACTTTATGTTTCCTTTTTAATTGTTTATGTGTTTCTATAATTATAGGGATCCAAAGGGTAAAAGAAAATCCAGTTTGCAAGCTGAGTTTGATAATACTGGTTCATGCACAC